AACATAAGATAAATAAACTAAGTAAAGATATTAAATTTAAGATAGAAGAAGAAACCAATACAGAAATAAACTGGATATTGTGATAAAACGAAGAAGGGAAGAGCTAGAATTTAAACCGTATAAAAAACCAAGCGAATTTCAGAAAGTCATAAAATATCATTCAAAAACTCCACAACATATAAAGGAAAATACATTCAATATGGAATATAAGAAAATCATAAGCAGAACGAATACATTACAAAATAGAAGGAAATACATCAACGAACTAAAAACTAAATTTCAATTAAACTGTACTTAAACAAGATAATAGAAAAATAGGAAAGAAAATTCAAAAGTAAGAACGAGCAAATTAAACCAAGAAACAAGAACACAAACATAAAATATATAACCTTACTTTCCCTTATATCAAAGGATTCTTCGAAGAAATAAACAAAGACCTCAACAGGGTAAATATAAAACTAGCCCCGAATTTATGAAAAATTACGAAAAAGAATGGAAAAAATTAAACGCGAACCAAACGACAAGACAGAATGGATATATTATACAAAAAACGCAGTCTATTCAATACCATGTATGTACATGTAAAAACCCAAAAAAGTACATAGGAGAATTCAAAAGAAAAGTAGAAACACGTCTAAAGGAACACATTGCAGACCTAAAATATAAAAGAATAAATTCGGCCTTTTACGAACACTATACAATAAATAATTGTAATATAAGCAAAGATGAAGTAAAAATCCTACACAAAGAAACCAATTGGTATAAACGAAAGTTCAAAGAAAGTTATGAAATAATAAAATCTCGAGACAATAACATCAACAAAAGCTTAAGTGTTAAAATCCATGATAATTGGCTAAAATTGTTGTAATACTATTGCAGTTTAAAATTGCAGTTTAAAATATCAACGAAAACAACTACGATAGCAATGGTAATGGTAATTAAAATATAACAATAATAATTTTAAAAAATTTATTTATCTATATCAGTGTTTTTCAACCGGGGTGCCGCGGCACCTTAGGGTGCCACGGCTCCACGATTGGGGTGTCGCAAAGTTTAGAGCCTTTAGACATTTTCTTGGAAATTTACTTAAGTGTAGTTCAAGATAACTCATTGTCAGTTCTATTTTGCTACGAGATATCTAGTAAGCAAAGAAACTATGACTAATCGCATGTTAATGTAATGTTCTACGCTACGTGTACGCACGACTTGTCACGAGTTCGCCCAAACCACATTGCTTGGCCTTCACGTTCCCAGTCCCAGTACCAGGCCAACCACCAGAGAAGAACGACGTGGACACTTGTGTCTTGTATATACTTTAAAAAGCGTTGCATTGTACTTTGAAAAGCGTGTGGTTTCAATCACAAAGTAGGTGCATATTACAGTATTTTCATAGTATTCAAAAGCAATGATGACAAATAAACAATTTTTTATCATTTTTTTAATTTAAATTTTTTAAATTGATATGAAAAAGATAAGAAAAAAATAATGAAATATTTATTTTATATATGCATCAAAATAGTATAAAAAAACTTAACAAAAATTGTTTATCAATAAAATGATAATATAAAATGATGATATATTTGATAATAAAACTATATTTAAAAAACAATAGCGAGACTATTATTTTACATGTAGGTATTTCGACAAAATTCAATGAACTTAAATTTTGATTTTGAACACGTAGAAACACTTTTGCGTTGCGCGTAATATTCGTTATAGCAAAAAATTTATCTGGCCCATTAGTCCCTCCCTTATTCAGATTCTAGATCCGCCGCTGGCCAAGGATGTCACGATTTGTTATTTTTCAATTAGGTGTGTCACTCAATGAAAAAGGTTGAAAAACACTGATCTATATATATAATCGAGACGAGTTGATAATAATAATAATAATAATCAGCGCAGAGCCCAAATGGTTAGGAGTTGAAAGTTGAAATTTGGCACACAGTTAGGGTACGTCACGAGAATGCACAATAAGAAGAGATTTTTCGAAATTTCCCCCACGGGGAAGAGGGATAGGATTAAGGCTTAACACTTTCATCAACAATGGAAGTGTTAAGTAATAATAGAAGTGTTAAGTAACAATGAACATGTCAACAATGGAAGTGTAATGTAACAATTGAACTGTTAAGAGAAAGCGACGCGCAAGACGCAGATGCAGTTTTTTTAGTTTTGCGGAAAATCGAACATATTTTTAGATACATCTAAAAATTCTCTAATTAGTCTGAAACATGGGGACCCAATTCTTGCATTCTGCGAAAACGGGTAAATTGATTATAACGTAATAATCTTAATCTTTGCTAGCGTTACTTTTTGCACGAGCAACGCCGGGCCTATCTGCTAGTAGTATAATAGTTTAGAACGAAATGTTAATACGTCAACGAGATTAAAACAGATTACGTTAACGCAGATAAAAAAAATTAATAAAATAAAAATACGCTGGAAAATGCTAGATGTCGAACCACGAAACCTTCACTTGTAATAGTAATTTAAATCATAAATATATTTTAAACTGTAATGATATTTTAACGATTTTAACTGTAAATACATAATTTTAAACGAAAAATATATATACTGTATGCAACAACGAAATTTAAAGAAAATTCCGGATGTAATACCGACGGATGAGGGGCTTTGACCGAAACGCGTATTGGCCAACAGCAGATCAATAAAGATGATGTAAAATGCCTCGTGTCTATTTATGCACCTAAGTAGTGAAAAAATAAACACATAAATATTATATTTTTATTAATGTTGGCACCAAAGTTCAGCGAATTTTTCGCAGAAAAATAGCTTATCAGTAAACACGCGCCCGCTGTTCGATGCGCCGATCCGCGACGGAAACAAGCTTAAGCAATGGCGTCGTCGAACGGTGAACACTCGGTAAGTAATCCTACAATTTTTCGTTTAGACCATAGTTTATATGGATTATTCCCAAAAAATTATACGTGTTGTAGAAATGTTGAGTCGAATTAGTCTAGAATCGATTAATTTTATGGAAGAAAACCTTTCGAACAGCCGTAGTCCCGAAACTGTACACGTGCCGGGCTGTGATTGGTTCATGTATTTAAGTGACTCGTACAACATGGAATTCATAAAACACGGAACGTATCTACCGTGTTATACTGTTCTATTTTACACAAACTGCCCAAATTTCCATAGCGGTACGTTTTCGTACAAATTTTCCAAAACAAAAGTCCTCAAATTTTACCAAAACACATATGATTGTATTTCGACTGCAATATATCTTTCTAACCATTACTCAATAGATTACTTTTATGAATTAATGTAATTACGATTAACCGGTGTTTGAAGTGACTCGATTTTATTAATACTCTTGTGAGACACGCAGAGGGCCACGGGTTAATCCGTTCTGACCAATTACACTGCTCAGGCTGGTAAAACCCGGTCTCGGAGTCATCGGATGGCTAGGAGGGCAAAAAGTGAGTGGGGAGTGCGTCGGTAAGCCAGCAGGCGTCCTTTCAATGACAGGAGACAGGTTTAACAAATAAACAAAGCATTTACTGAAGAACTAAATCTACGTTATAGAACGCGATAATTAATTCTAAGGTTAAATGCGGTTATAAAAGACAATATACTCTGCGTATAATGGCGACTATTCTCGTCTATGTCGCTTGCCTAACTTTAGGGAGAGAGACCAATTTTACAAGTCTTAAAATATCCCCTAAATACATCTCAGAGTACAGGGAGAGTTGATATGGCGACGACTCACTGAGTCTTCTCCGACGGAATCCAATTCCTTTGCATGGAAATCGAGTGGCACTACTATAGAAATAACTACCGTGTGCGAACGCTCGCTGAGCTTCCGGCGGCTCGAGCTTTTATTCACTTGTCGTGGGAAAGGAGTGACGTGATCGTCACATGTTGACATTAACGGTGCATTCTTGACACCTATGTGTCAACTTTCCCAGCTAATTGTGATAACAAACGGTGACCTCCTATATAATTCTCACCAGAAACGTTTTTTCTATCGGAGTTGTTTACAATCTTTTTTCCCGACAACTGCGAAATAACGGATTTCACACTTTTTATTGGTTTAAAGAAAAACAGTAAGATGAATTTACTAAGAAAATGCCACGCTAAAAACTGTATGCAAAATGAATCGTTAATCATAAAACCTATTATATTAGGTAACTCTAATTCATCAGAGAGAATGCAAGAATCTTACATGAAGATACTATAAGAATCAAACTTAATGCAAGAAAATATTTCACTCTTTTACAGAAATAAATTAATAAAAAATTATAAAGCAAGATTTTATCAAAAAAGAGTAGGAACTTACGTTTTTCGGTATTTCTGCTATTAGAAAAGTTGAAAAACCAAAAATAATGCTAGAAATTATACCGATGCATAAATATCCGTATTTTACAATATTCAATCCTTCTCCGTACATGCCAATATAGAAGCATATTGTTATTGCTGTCAACTGATATAAGTAACAAACTGCTAACATTGGATTAACTATTTCGTCCAAATCCAAAAGAATGTCGCAATATTGAACATGCTTCTGAATTACAAAGTGAAAATCTAATGGTTCTCCATTCTCTACGGCCTCTTCCATTTTTTCACACAGCGAGGACATGTTTTCGTGTAATGTCATACCTACGTCAATATTCAAGAGAAGATATATAATTATAAATCCAAGTCCGTAAATTACTACCCACAGCAATAAAATTGAATGAAATACAATTTTATGCACATTCTCTTCATTTACAAGAGATCGAAACATTATCGTCATAACAGTAAATATAACCACATTTGAGCAAATCAAAAACAAAATAAAAAATTTACTTAATTTATAATGAATGAATGCGGAATTTGCTTTGAAATTGTCCAAGTATACTTTGCACTTATCTATAACTAGAATCGAATAGATTCTGGAATTTTCACTCAGAATTATTTCAAATTCTAAATAAACGAAAAGAGAAAAAAATAAGAATGAGAGGTAATAAAGAATATAATCTGCACCAAAAAGACGATCAATGCCTCCCATGAACCGAAATCGTTCTTCTCCTTGTAACAAGAGAAATAAAAGAATATCGATGTTACAGGTAATGAAGGAAATTTTTACAAAACACTGATAAGCCGTATACGAGACGTTAGCCTCTTCGTCATTAAAAGGCACATAAACTCCAAAAATCAAAAGAATATTTCTACTCCTTGTTACTCTACACAACAGGCAAAAGCAATCAAGAGAATGATTCACAGGATTACGAATCATATTTGAGACACAGCTGCTTTTAGTATTCGACTTAACTGTTTAAAAGAAACGTGAACGGAAAACGATAACTGCAATTGTTATCTAGTTTAGTAGGCAAATCGAAGATTTTCTCAGATAAGATATGCAAAGCTCGTGTGCTTCATAAATCTGGAATTTATTATCTACGAAAAATAATTTTATAGAGACATTTTCCAAAGATTTAAAATAATTTTTACAATTTCTGCGATATTATCCTAGAAGATGTCGATTTAAAATTATTGTAAAGCATCAATTTTATATTTTTGTATCTTATTTTTCTTCTGTTTAGTAACTGATATAAACTTTGTTATTCTTACACTTATATGCACACACTACTTAAGTTATCCTCTAATTTAACTTTTATCAACGACCTAATCAAACGTTGTAATTTTCCTTTATTCTGTGTCCTTTCTGCATAGGTCAGCAGTGTTTATGCTCTGCAAAAGTTTTTAACGGAGCATTGGATCGACGTCTACAAAAATTTTATTACACTACTTGTAATAATTTAAGAGACGAGTTGTAGACATTCGTGAAAATTCTGCAAGAAATATTCCAGACTTTCCAAAAAGTCGAAAATTATTTTTAAGTAGCAAAGTAATATTGCAAAAGTAACGACGAGATGGCACATTTATTGTAGAAGAGCACACTATTTAGAATAAGGTAAACACTGAAGTAATCAGCCAAGCAACGATGAAATCCACTGGAAAACGGAGAAACACTTTCTGATTCTTAATGCCTTCAACTTTCCGTAAATTCTTAAGTTATGTACTCAAATAATCGAATCACTGCACATGTTCGTTAAATTTATAAACAATTTAGTTACATACCAACAGAAAGTGAAATGTCAGTTGCATGAAATTGCTATTTCTGGAATCGTAGAATATTCAAATTCCGAATATAGTATTATACATCGGTTTGTTTACGATAGTTCTCTGAATTTAANAATGTCAGTTGCATGAAATTGCTATTTCTGGAATCGTTGAATACTCAAATTCCGGATATAATATTATACATCGATTTGTTTACGGCAGTCTTCTGAATTTAAACAAATAAAAATTAATCAATGTCTTACATACATGTGTCAGAATAACGTGGTATAGTTTCTGACGTAATTTGAGTAAAGCATTTTCCTTGTGTCTACATAAATCATTGCATTCTATTGTATACAAGCATCAAACATGATCATTCTATTCGAAGAATTTACAATATATTTTTAACTAAGATACTATTTAAAACATGTAGCCATTTTAATAATAGGCAATTTTCAAATAGGTAATACTAAAATACAGATTCTATTTATTTTCTTAATTATTTTGCTTTTCTTCGATGAATATAACTTTCATAAAGCAATTTTATACGTTATAAAATCTGCACTATCACATACCTCACTACTTATTGCAAATGGCAGCAAAAATTTTTACATTTATTACGTAGTGTTAATCGTTGTTACTACTAACACATTCGAATTGTTTAAATGGTATAGTTTATAGCCCAAATAGTGTTCGATATTACAAGTAATGAAGTGTGAAATATGGATATTTGCTAATATACGTATCGACTTTCGTTATTTAGGAACGTCCCTATACCGGTATCGGTATTGGTATCGTAATTAAAGTATCGATAACAGCCAAGTATTGTCAGCTAGAATTAAAACCTGGTGGAGAATCGATGGAAAAATACACGACTGCAGAATCGGTACTTTTTAAAATGAACTTCGACTCTTCTTCTCAGAACAAAACTAAAAATTTCAGTCTGTGGCTATAAACTAATTGTTACAATACTGTGTCGATTGATTTGAGATTTTAATATATTTCCAAGTTTTTTCCATTCGTATGAAATTAAATTTTATATTCAGGAATCAATTGCCATATAAATTAATCAGTCCACGTACCATTTCATTGTTTAACAATCTAACAATAAAAATCTTATTCTTCTGTTGATGGTATCTTTAGCGATATGTATTAATTATGCTGAGCGTTTTAACATAATTTTTTTTGCGTGCCACGAGCAAAGACGTTCATATTTTCACAATTTTGTTAACGTACAGTAGATCCCCCTATAAGACGGTAGATACGTTCCGTTCTTTATGAATCAATTTTGTAGGAATCATAGTTTACGGACTACGGCTGTTTGAAAGGTTTTCTTTCATAAAATTAATCGATTCTAGACTAATTCGACTCAACATTTCCAAAATACGTATATTTTTTTGNTTATCATACCATCAAAAATAACAATTAGTCGTGATAATTAAAGATTTAGTACTGTACATATAGTACAAGAGGGAGCAGGAAAACCTAGATTGTCCTGACGTAAACAATGAATTGTGCACCATATATAAAGGGTGCACAGTGAAAGTCCTTATACACTGATACGTGTGAGTGGTGCACAACATATGACGTTACCCATGTAGTTACAAATGCAGTTCAAAGAAACGAGAAATACGCATTTCACTGTCTTTGTACAATGTACACATTAGCATTTCATACTTTCTATTCACATTATTCATGTATGCAGTGTGTCTTTTGAACTGAAATTGGTTCTGCTCTATGACTATGTAATTGACCTTCTTTCTGTATCATGCAACGTTTTCAAAATGGAAACACTAATTTCTGAGTTTTGCTACTAGTGGCTCTGCAAGAACTCTTGTCTATACAAACTTTATGTTCATCATCCAATTACATGGCTGTATAAGAACTTTACTATGCATCCTGTATACAGAGTATACATACAGAATAAATTCTGTAAGCTCAAGTGTATGTTTATATATACATTCTTAGATATTTTAACATAATTTTTTTTGCATGCTACGAGCAAAGACGTTCATATTTTCACAATTTTGTTAACGTATATATTTTACACCATTTCAGGTATTTCTATTTTGTTTTTATTGTATTTAATATACATTTCTATTTTTTAATACCGTTTTATTTTAATCGTCTGTTGCACGTGATATATGCAAGCTCAGTCTATCTATTTTATATAAAAAAATATATAGACTGAGCTTGCATATATCACGAGCAACACATATATATTATACGAGCACACATAGATAATATATTGATTTATCAGTTTGTGCACATTCTCTTCATTTACAATAGATCCAAACATTATCGCGGTAACAGTGAATACAATCGCGTAGGTGCATATCAGAATTAAAATGGCAAATTTACTTAATTTGTAATGAATGAATGCGGAATCTTCTGTAAAATTATCCAAGTATATTTTGCATCTCTCTACAATTACATTAGAATAGATTCTGGCATTTTCACTCAGAATTATTTCAAATTCTGAATAAACGAATAGAGTAAAAGATAAGATTATGATACAATAAATAGTAAAATCATCACCAAAAAGACGATCGATGCCCCCCGTAAACTGATGTCTTTTTTCCTCTTGTAACAGGATAAATAAAAAAATATTTATGTTACAATATACGAATAAAAATTTTATAAAATGCTGATATGCCTTATACATTAAGTTAGCCTTTTCGTCTTTTAAAGGTAAAAACACTCCAAAAATGGTGAGAATATTTCTATTTTCTGTAATTCTACATAACAAACAGTAACAATCAAGAGAGTGATTCGCAATGTTACGAATCATCTTCCGACTTCTCTTAATTTTGAAAATCAGCAAATTTTTCTACAAAAATGTTATTCTGTGGTAAATGTTGACACCAAGCTTTAAACTGGACACAAGTGCGTAGTAATAAGAGAAAAATGGCATTAAGAAATGGAATTCGATTAAGGTGCATCACGTTTTAATCGAAATCTAATTAATTATGCGAATAATATTGAAGAATTTTGTACGTAATTTATGTAATGTTTACCTGAATTATTATTTTGTAATTTAAATTTTATCAAATGGAATATAATAAAATTTAAAATAGTATTATAGTTTAGATTAATCGATCTCTTAACACAGTTTACAATACTAAGTTCGTCGATAGCATTTGAAGAGAGTTTCAAAAACTATACAATAAAATGCACGTCTCTCAATGTTTTTTTAAAATTCCTTCTGGCGGATATTAATGCATCGATTATAATGGCATGTACGTGAGAAAAGAGAAAAGTAAAATACTTTTCTCTTTTCTCTAAATCTAGTAAGGAGTTGGGTATCTTTACCGGCTCTTATGAAATTTTATTTTAAAAATAAGATTTGTATTATTAGTCAACATCCGTTCTGTTTCGGGCATACCGGTTGACTATTCACAAGAACGTCGTATGGGCTCTTCTATTTTGTGGACATACCCTACTCTATACTAGCGGCCTGAGAATACACGCCAACGCACATTCACATACATATGTATGTATCCACAAAACTTTTTCCGTATTTTTCTTACATTTTTTAATTCAGGAAATTTCAAAATGTGGAGATTTTTAAAAAAATTCGGAAAGTCAAACTTGGCACAATTCCAATACTTTCTTTCCTTCGTTTTGTATATATAACAAGTGGGAAAGTAATATGATATTTTTGTAATTAAAATCAAAGTAAACTTTCTAATAAAGAAAACTTAAAGTTCAACGTTCCTTTAATTATATAAGTAAACCGTGACGTATTCAAAAGGCAAAATACAAATCGATAACGTTAATTAAATCGTAAATAGCAAATAACAAAAACACCAGTGGAGATCAAGGATGTAAACAGCGTTTACAGATGTTCTCAGACATATTCTGACCCGTTTTAACTTAATTTATTCAGCCGTGTACATATTCTTATCAGATTCATGAGGCATGTTTTCATGTTTGACTTCAGACGTGAAGGTAACTTTGGTTTGAAGAAAACATGTTTTTGCCTTAATTTATTTTTGTGTTTGTACTATTTAGAATTACGGTTTTTATCTATTCTGTATGTTAATATCTGTATCTTTAGTAGAAATTGTATATACAGAAAATTAATTATAAGTAATTGTTTTACTTTAATGAATTAATACTGATGATTGGAGAACTTAAAATAAGTCCTTACATTCATGTAAGAAAAGTTAATTTCTATGACTAGAAAAGAGATAGTTTGGTTGGAAATTCGTAATATAATTCACTAATTTGTGTTTGTTTATCACCGAAATTTAAATTATCGTTGTTTTTGCAAAATTAAGGTTAAATTTGTCGTGTTTTGTATTCAGTTTTTTTCTCCAAAATATACATTTCGGGCATACTCGATGATACTAGATTCTATGTCGATAGCAACGATTTTCTTCAATTTTGGTTATTTTGGTAAAAGAAATGTCTATTGATTCTTTCTGAACAGCATCCAATGTCCATCCTGCTCAGACCATTTTATTTGAAAAACTTTAGTCTATTTTCAGAAATATATTTGAGATAATAGCGCGTAACGTTTGTTTTACGACTGATTATCAGGAGAAAAATTAAGTTACTGATAAGAAAGTTTTATTTATGTTATATTATCGACACTATCAGTATCGATAGGAGAGATTCGTGGAATTTATATTGACTTATGTAAATTTCTTTCTCAAAATCACTGAATGATCAGACGTTTGTACGAGCGATATCGCTAACATCGCAGATTCATATGCGGCTCTTGTTTTTTACAGACTATATAAATGTTAAAAATAACACTGCAATAGACGACCAGTGCGATCGTTTCAAGTTTCAAGACTTCTCGTGTAAACGGAAATTCGTGTAAAATATTGAACCCTATCAAAAATATATATATATATATTATGTAAATTAATAAATGGTGGTCCCGTTTGGGCGAATTTGGTCTCCTGTTATTAATTAAAGAAAAAGAACTATCGGACGAAATAATTAAAATATATATATTATGTATTATTAATATGTGAATTTATAAAATACACCTGAAAATGCGTGTGGCCAGTTCGAATATGTCTAGGTCCTACTATATCTACGAGTATTTTAATTAAACAACTGTAAATAATATTTTAATACTCTAATTCGAAACTGTCGATGGCTAGACAAATATGAAAATGTTTTTAATTAAATGCTTCATATTAGTGAGTTAGTAGATAGCTCATTTACTTACATTGGCTTCACTGATTGTCACTTGATATATCATATGATTGCTGTTCCAAACATACTGTACAAAACTTTCATACTCAATTGTTAGTTTCTCTTTTGCCATTAACTGATACGGATCTTATGTATATCTTAATTAAAAGAGGGTGACCAGCCTTCAATATGTTGTATCCAGTTACATAATGCAGACATTTGTAAATTATTTTTTCTCTTATTGCCGATCATAATATTATATCTGCTTCTCTTTTGATAAACAATCTTGAACAAAAATATCATGTATAGTAATAATTCCGTAATCGTTTTATTGATAATATATGGATTAATTATTTGCTGAGTAAGTTTCCTTACTCGTTGTTAGCAATTACAATTTGTTATAAAACTTATCCCTATCCTCAAAATTAAAATTTTCGCAATTTTATAATAGTTAAAAATAGAAAAATTTTTAATAAAATATGATAACAGATGTAGTCACCATAATTTTAAATATTGCCGGTAAAGTTCAGCAACTCGTCGTGGTTTATTTATGTATAGAAAGAGATAAACGAAACTTATAAACGACAGCATCAATTTTTCAGCCTAATAGAAAACTTTCCGTAATATCTATCAGACATCTTCAGACACTAGTTGTTATATAATAGTGTTAAGGGTCGCAAAGCTTTATACGGGAAGTCGCGTGTAAAAGAAAAAGATAAGTGTTTGTAGGTTTTACACTACAATAAAAAAAAAAAATTACAATTTCACTAAGAAAGCTGTGCATGTTTATTTTACAGTACAATTAGTTTTTTTTATCAATATTTAAATTTCAACAAAAAGAAAATTAATTAAATACGTAGTTTTTAAATTCACTAACATAGTTTTAATATGGCCGTGGAGGTTCGCCAGAATTTTTTAACTTTTAAACGGGTCGCGTATTCAAAAAGGTTGAAAGACTCTGTTATATAAGTCCGACAAGTGTAACAAACAATTTCAGCGATAAACTTTAAGTGCATTTTATCAAGTACAGATGTAAATGAAACATGTTTATTACAAGGTTAAAGTATCAATTTCTGTTTAGTATAATTTAAAAATATAATTTATTCGAATCTAATATAATTAAATGAATTATTTTAAAATAATTTAGTTCAAAATAAATTACTTGACCTTTCTTGAAATCTTAAAAACGAGGAAACATTTGAAATTATAATTTGTAAAATAAAGGTATGAAGGAGTAACGGTGTCGGCATTTAAGATTAATTTGCAATTGTTAAAGAATATGCTGATTTTTGCTGTTGTAAATATAAGATGGCCTTGTTTACAAACAGCAGGTAAATGGAAACCAGTAAAACAGGTTTTTCAATGGGCACATTTTTATCAAAGCTGAGGATTGTCGTTTGAAACATATAAAGCGATCGTGTAAGAATTATTTCATGTTCGATATATATCATTCGGTGTGTTGAATTGCATTTAAATTCAACCAATGTTAGTTAAAATATTGCAATATTACGATCTTTTATGAAGCACAATCCAGTAATTTTATAAAAATATGCTTTAGAAATTGTCATAGAAGTATATGTTTATTTTCAATCACAAATTCATTATGTTCTGATTTGATAAAAAAAACAAACTCTTTTAAACTCTTGATTATCTTATAAGTTGCGGAGAAATTTACACATTTCTCGGTTAAAATTAAAATAAAAATTAAATCTATTATCCTATCTCATTCTTTCAGTTTATCACATAAATTAGAATTCAGGCAAAAGTTTATATTATACGGCATATAATTACATACTGTCGATTTAGTCAGTTATACCTAATACATAAATATTGTTCCATATGTAACCATAGCCAAACAATACAGTTATGGCTTATTCGCATCCTCGCATACAAGAAACAAATAAGGTATTGATCTGTGATATTTTGAGAGGTAAATGAAATTATTGGATCGCCCATTTGAATCATCACATCCAGTATATTACAGTCGACCCCCTATAACGTGCGTTCCTATAACGGAAATTCCTATAACGTAGCAAAAAAAATTGTAGCAACATTCGTATAAAGGAGCTTCTAAAACGTCGTCGCCGACTCGTTTCGCGACAAGATTAATAGAATCTGGACCAATAGTGGATGAGCAGCCGAACTACTTTCCTCCGCCCTGCGCCACGCTACGGAGCGGCTAAATTGAGTTTGCTATCGTCTGTACAGTATTATATATAAATTATATATAAATTAGGTACTGTACATATAATTATATATTAATTATATATAAATTAGGTACTGTATATATAATTATATATTAACTTAATTTATTGTAACTTTATTATAATTATATATATGCTTTCTGCCGCCTGGCAACACGCTACGGAGATTTTAGGCTAGTAAGTTGAGTTTATTATCGTCTGTACAGTATGTAAATTAGGTACCGTAAGTCTAATACAGCACTAATTTTATACATTTCTTGTGAAAGAAACACTTCTTATTCAACGGCCATAAAAATTATTTATATTAATGATGTCTCCAAAGGTCAAGTTATTTTTCTGCGAAAAATTATTTATCAGAAATCGCGGCCGCCGTTTCGTGTGCTGTTCCGCGACGAAGACAAGCTTTGAACAACGGGCGTAGTCGAACGGTACACACTCGGTAAGTAATCCTATAATTTTTTGTTTATAGCATAGTTTATACAGATTATTCCCAAAAAATTATACGTGTTTTGGAAATGTTGAGTGGAATTAGTCTAGAATCGGTTAATTTTATAGAAGAAAACCTTTCAAACAGCCTTCGTCCGTAAACTTCACACGTGTCGGGCTGCGATTGGCTCATGTATTTAATGATTCCTACAACGTAATATTCGATTAACGTGGAACGTATCTAAGCGTTATAGGGGGGTCTACTGTATTTAAAGAACCATTTTGCCTTTGGTATTTAAATTCTGAATTGAACTTTAATAATTATAAAATTTATACTGTATAAACAACTTTTACGTTAAACAAATATATGATTATTGAAATCCGTAATTTAAATTATTCACAAAACTAAATTCTGGCGAAAACATGTTTTCTTCCAATTGACGTTACCCTCACATCAGCCATCAAGCATCAAAACATGCTTTATGAATCTGATAAAAATAAACATTGACTTTGTAAATTCATATTCAAAAGGTCAGAATGATTCTGAAAACATCTGTAAACTCCGTGTTTACATCCTTCATCTCGACTTGTATTTTTTGACATATTTGATTTAAAGCTACTGATTTAGATCAGATTTTCATTACATCATGTTTTCTTATATAATTAACTGAACGTTGACATATATTTTCCATATTAGATAGTTTAAAATGATAAATATTCGAATAATAATATAAATCTGTTTTTTAATAATAAAGGATTGTTGTTTTAAAAGTATTGTTTTTATGCTTCAACTTTGTTGAAAGAAGTCACGCCTCTCCTTTTATATAACAGAAATTTGATTAGGATAACGCGATAAAGGATGTTGGAGTGAGGTTGGGAGATAAACTCCACTACTTCAGAAATATTTCTAGATGTTTATCCTCTTTCACATTTTCCAAAATGATTACAACCCTTTCTCGATTTTCCCCAATTGAAATCAGTGTTATTTTTCTCACATGGTAAGGTTTATGTAATAAAAATATAAAAAGTAAACATTAAAGTATTTTTAAAACTCGACGAAATGATAATATTGTGACGTTATTTACACAAACTAATGCATGTAGATAAGCCTAGAATTATGACTGATTTCACTGTTATATTTTTATCAAATGTTTAAATATTTTTGTTGATACTATTCTGCCTATATATATATAATAGCGTGTAGACCTGAGAAGTTAATTCTGATTTAAGACCTTAGAGAGCTGAAATCTCATACTGTTTCAGGTAAAAATTACATTTTAGCATAGTGTAAATATTAATTAAACTGTATAAAGATTTCTTGATAAATAATATTGTTTTGAACGCACAAATTCCTATATATTTCCATTGTCAAAAAACGTTTTAATTTATTTTTTATATCTTAAATAAATCTATATGTCTATTTTTATTTTTTATTTCAATTTATCAAATAAAAATATATATTTATTGTGACATTGCCCCAATGTTACGCTGCAATGCTCTCTACTTTAAATAAGTAGTGGCTTACCGTGTACAGTACATCATACTTTTCCTTTAACGATAGAGTCGTGCGGTCATCTATCTTACACCTTTCAGGGGAAGTTTTTAATTGAAATTGTAAACAAATCGCCTGTGTATTTCGGTTTATCTGAAGAGATTTCTCACACAGTAGCGTGTCAACACTCATGGTTTAATTTATCGGTTTACGTGTTAATTAATTGCTTTAAGTAAAGTAAATATCACTGTAAAGGAATGCGAAAATTACAACTAAACATTCCTTATTACATTCCAGAGAATTCCGAAAAGGCTTGGCAGTAGTAAATCGCAAAGATACGCAGTGTTACACAGATATAAACTAACACCTACAAATATATTCGACTTAAAGTTTTGTAAAATGTCATTATGAAAGTGTATTGTGTTGATTAACAAATATATATTATTAAAACAATATATTTATAAATATATATAAATGTTATTTATCTTGTTATGAAGCAGTAAGTATTTTCTTATTTTTTTTTTGTTATTTTATTAATCCTTCCTCCCCGTAGGGAGTAAGAAAATCTTTCACATTTGAGTTCAACAAGGAATATACTGGGTCGACTGGTTTTCAGTCAAAGGACCTAACCAACCAGGAAAAATAGCCGAGTTAAAATCCAGTAAAATATTTCACGACGAAACTTTTCTGATAAAATGCTTGGCTCTTTCTTGAATTTCGTGACTTATTTTTAATTAATTTTCAGGCAAATATGGAAGGAACAGCAGAAGATTATGAAAGATTAAGCACCACTTTAATCCTTCGCTACGTAGAATCAGCTTTGGATTTACACTTTCCAGACATGAAATGGTCTGATGAGGATATCATTTTGGATATTGGATGCGGTACAGGAAGAACCACCAAAAATATTCTTCTACCAAAATGTCCAAAATTTAAAAAAATCGTTGCTATCGACATAATGCCTGAATACATCGAATATGCCAGAAAAAAATATTTCGACAAAAGAATTGAATACGAGACACGGGATATCCTCCAAAGGTATTATTTTAAATTGTAACAGATCTTTTTAAAAAATTATTAACTACCTGTATAACGCTTTTCTATTTGGAAAACGTAAAAGGCGCGGTATGTTTGAAAAATTAATAGCAATGAAAAGTAGAAAGTAATCGTTGTAATTTCTTTGTGATTTTCAGACCAAATGTTAAAGAAGTGAAAAGATATGACAAAATCGTATCCTTCTACGTATTTCACCGGATATCCGATTTCAAAAAACTCTTTTCTGTTATATCTTCGATTTTAAAGCGCGGAGGATATTTTTCGTTCACTTTCTTCATTAGAAATCCATTATTTTCCATTTTGCGAGAAATAAGTAATATCGATGAATGGACGAAGATCATAAAGGTGCGATTATTTTGGCTCTAAATAATGTTTCATATAATATTAAGTAATATTTAATTACAGAGACGACATATACTTGATGAACTTCCACCTTTTCTTAAGTGGAAGGATGTAGAAACAGAATTTAGTAATTTCCTTTCAAAATTTGGTCTGCGAGTGACAAGTACTAATTGTGAAGTCTTCGACGTGTTATATGCCAACAAAAAAGCATATTTGGGTAAATATTTTGTAGACTGCATTATATTTTAATAATTTACATTTACGTGTGACTGGAGGGTCGGCATCTATAGCGAATCGCTGGCAACGTATTGCCTCGGGGAGAATTGAACGGCGACTGCTTGAATGCCCGTTTGGTATTATTTTAAAATGATGAAATCGGAAGATGGCGTGAAAGCCTCTTTATCGACGCTAAGAACACAAGTAGATATATTCCCAGGTGTGAAAGTTGATGTTACTACGTTAAATTGTTTATGTTGAAGTCCGGATTCTCGTATACGTATTAGACCTATTTAATTCTAAAATATTAATTTTGTGTTTAAGTATTATTGTTTGTTAAAACAAGAAATAAATAATTGTTTCAAAAGGAGTTTATTTCATATGGAATTCCTTTCGTAGTAGTTCAAGTTTTTCTCTCATGGCACTGTTGGAAACGAAGCCGAAGATGCTAAGATAATAAGAGTAAGACACGTAACAGCATCCTATATGCAAATTTTCTTCTGATAGTCTTCTGATAATATTAAAGGTACAGGCAGAGTTCTGTATTGAGTATTTTGAGTATTTCACCTGTTGTTTGATTGTAAAGGAAGTGTTCGTGCCTCGACGTATATTCAACGCCTTTCAAACGTTTTGCAGATCAGTCCGAATGGCCGAAAATGCGTAATTCAGTGAACAGATCTTCTTGATTCTCCTAACCTGATGATTCGGCTTTTCTCAACTGTTTTTCTTCGTCTTCTTTGTTTAGTCATGCCTGCAGAAAATTTAATTCTATATTCATATATACGCTTAGATTTTGTATACGAATAGTATAGCCACATTTGCATTAAATACACATTTCCTTTCTTACAGTAATGTCAGTTTCTAATCGCTAAATAGTTTATTGTCTCGAGCTTCTTGGCTTGGAATTTGATTTTGTAGGAGAACAACTGGCATCTCTCTCTCCAGTACTCATAGTCACTGAAGGACCTTGGCCTCATCCAGGATTTTCACCCATTCCTCTCAATCTTGGGCTTTCTCTTTCCTACAACTCACACCCATCTTTCTGAAATCATCCTCCACACACTCTTCCCATCTCTTTCTTGGTTTCCCTCTCGAGCTTTTTCCCTCTGGCCATTCTCTGTACACCTGATACACTTTTCTCTCAGGTTCTATCCGTTCTACATGTTCAATTTAACAAAATCCCCAATCATACGATATTACTTCATATAAATGAATTAATAATTTCTTATTATTTATTTGTTAGATAAAATAAGATTTTTGTTAAGAAATAAAGTACGTTTAATTCTCTTTTGAATGTTATTTATCTTGTTATGAAGCAGTAAGTATTTTCTTATTTTTTTTTTGTTATTTTATTAATCCTTCCTCCCCGTAGGGAGTAAGAAAATCTTTCACATTTGAGTTCAACAAGGAATATACTGGGTCGACTGGTTTTCAGTCAAAGGACCTAACCAACCAGGAAAAATAGCCGAGTTAAAATCCAGTAAAATATTTCACGACGAAACTTTTCTGATAAAATGCTTGGCTCTTTCTTGAATTTCGTGACTTATTTTTAATTAATTTTCAGGCAAATATGGAAGGAACAGCAGAAGATTATGAAAGATTAAGCACCACTTTAATCCTTCGCTACGTAGAATCAGCTTTGGATTTACACTTTCCAGACATGAAATGGTCTGATGAGGATATCATTTTGGATATTGGATGCGGTACAGGAAGAACCACCAAAAATATTCTTCTACCAAAATGTCCAAAATTTAAGAAAATCGTTGCTATCGACATAATGCCTAAATACATCGAATATGCCAGAAAAAAATATTCCGACAAAAGAATTGAATACGAGACACGGGATATCCTCCAAAGGTATTATTTTAAATTGTAACAGATCTTTTTAAAAAATTATTAACTATAACGCTTTTCTATTTGGAAAACGTAAAAGTCACGGTATGTTTGAAAGATTAAGGTAATAGCAATGAAAAATAGAAAGTAATCGTTGTAATTTCATTTTGATTTTCAGACCAAATGTTGAAGAAGTGAAAAGATATGACAAAATCGTATCCTTCTACGTATTTCACCGGATATCCGATTTCAAAAAACTCTTTTCTGTTATATCTTCGATTTTAAAGCCTGGAGGATATTTTTCGTTCACTTTTTTCATTAAAAATCCATTTTTTTCTATTTTGCAAGAAATAAGTAATATCGATGAATGGACGAAGATCATAAAATTGNGATTTTTTTGTGTGTTTTTAAAGGAATGTTTTAGCCAGATGACCTAGTAGCCTACAAAGAAAGGTCCGGTCGTCGATGGTGTTCTGGAACACATGATCAGAAGAAATGGTGGTTTCAAAAAGAAATTTTGAGCAGACTGTGTCTTTTTTGATTAAAAAATAAATTATCATCCGGCGAAATTCTACAAACATAAATATACATTTTTTGCGTTTCATTATATAAGTCCTGTATCTCATGCTATCTGAGGGAATTGCCGAATAAATAAAGCCACCGAATACCAGTCGTTATTTAAGTCTCGCCAACAAAATGGCAAAGTATTATTCGGGATTTTCAATATATCTTTACGTGTGTAACACCTAAAGAGATACCAGTTTCTCATTATAGACCTCTTGTTAGCAGCAGTTTGGTAGAACGTTTATGTGTTCCACTACTTTCTACCATCATTCCATTGTAAACGTAAATGTACATATTTTGGGCTACTGTATTGTCAAATTTATACAGATGAATTTTAAAATTTTAGAATGAAGGCACGAACTTAGAGGTACTTTATAAATAATTTTTGAAGCGAGATATCTGAATATATTGTTTCTTCAATATCACATCATCAAACATTTATAAATATCAATACAATTTCTGTATTGTCTGCTTTAACATTTACCTGTATTTTAGATTATTTCAAACCCTATTTGAGAACCGAGGGGGTATGGCTACGTCGTATCTCCGTGGAGTCGGAGGGACTTTCCCACTTGTCAGAAATGGCTTAAATTTTTAGTTTATTCCGAGGGAACAAAACTGATTTTTCGGGTCTGGTCGAGTGTAGGAGGGAGGAGTGCCGTCGGTAAGGTGACAGGCGATGTACGAGTAAAAGAGGAGACCAATTTAACAAGGAAACAACGATTTATTAGTTATATATATAGACGGTACAATAACTATTGTCGAGAGAAATTTCTGAGTTCCTAAAGCGCGAAGGGGTCGAGAGAGAGTTCACAGAAGTTGGTTCCATACCTGTTTATGTATTTGGATATCCTAGCGAAAATAAGGTAATCCACCGAGTCCTAGAAAATCGAATAAAAGCACAAAATTATACGAAAAGCATAGGTTACTTGTCTTCTCTACTGTCGATCAGCGACTCCCCGGAGGGGGTGAGAGAAGTGAGTTCTATCGTTTCGCGGTGGGAAAACTGTCATATGACTAATTAGTTGCGAGGTAAAAGGTGTGCGGGGAGGTCAAAGTGGTCCCCGGAACCCAAATAAAATGAGGAAATCGTATATTCGTAGTGTGAGAATAGTTGTCGAGATGGGCAAATGTTTATCTTGAAAAAAAGGGGAGGTTAAAATTTTTCCCTCTTTCAAGTTATTCACCACTTTAGTTTCTAGAAAAAAAATCGGTAAAAATTACGGATTTCACACTCATTTCGTAATTTTAATCACTATATTGCCAGTAGTAGTCACTAGAAAATTTATTATGCCGACCAAAATGTAAATGATGTAGTAATTTCTTTATAAATGTCACGTCCTCTTTACATAAAATTATATTACAACCATCAGAGACACAACAATTAATAAACACTTAATGATAATGGAAATTAAAAAACATTAATTTGTACTATGTACACACGATAATAGACAAAACATTTAATATTCACTAAAGGTAATTTTAGAAAATATTCAGACCTGTTCTTTCTATTGTTTAGTTTTTAAAATTATCTTCAATAGTTTATCAACGAATTCAGATTGTAAAGTATGTTAAGTTCGACTAATAGAAACTATAATAGTATTTTAAATTTTTTGGGAATGTCATTTATTACATTTCTTTTGATAGCAATTAAATTCCAGAATAATTACTCAAATAAACACTACAGAATTCTTGAATATTATTTGAATAATTAATTAGATTTCGATTAAAACGTAATTCACCTTAATCGAATTCCATTTCGTAATGTTATTTTTGTCTTATTACTACGCACTTGTGTCTAGTTTAAGCTTTCTCTTTCACCATTTACCACGAAATAGATTTTTAACATTTAAAAAAAAACATTGCTCATTTATTAAATTAAAAAAAGTCGGAAAATGATCCGTAACACTGTGAATCACTCTTTTGATTGTTGAGAAAGAAAACATCTCATAGTGTCAAACTCTCCTACGAACAAACTCAGAAAACACGCCTGAATACAAATGAAACTGTATTTCTGAAACAATTTTGAAGAAAAAATTATTATACAAATCGAGCAACGAGTTGCTTAACTTTACCGGCAACGATTGGTGGCACCATCTTTAATCGAATTTTACTTTTAAAACGTTTATACTTTTTACTACACTAAAAGAACAAGAAGCTTAATTTTGAAGAGAGGGATGGATTTTATAAATAATTGTGAGTGCTAATAACGAGTAAAATCATCACTAAGCCTAATAAACATAAACATGATAGTATAAAAATTTTATTTAACAAAAAAATTCGATATAAATTTATTAAAGAATAACGCTTAAATTTTTCATATTATATAAATAAATACTTTGCCTGATACTTAATTAACCTTACCGCTTACGTACGCGATCGCAAGCGAAACAATAAAAGGCTCACGTAGAGCAACAACGGTGTCAGACCTGACGTGAGCATCGCCGATCCGGTGCGGATCCTTCAGTCACACACACGACCTCTTTTATCTGTCCACCCCTTTGATATTAAGTGCCAAAAATTTATTAGTATTAATCACCTTAATAAACAATTCTCCCTGAAAACTTTCAGCAAATTATGACAAAAATAACAGGAGTCATTAATATTTTAAAGAGGTAAACAAACTCATGCCACACACGCGTGTTGCGTTATTTTGTTACATATAAACAGAAAAAACGATGGATTATTTATGCATTTCTTCATCTTCCAAGGTCCTCTCAGTCCAAAAATATAAAAGTCTTATTGATGTATCGACGTTTCTTTCCTCTGTTATATATAACAGCCGGAAAAGCAATTACAATTATTACACGTATATTTAGACGTGTAATGATCGATATTTGAGTTTTTATTTTTTTAAATTGTTCTTAGTAATTTCCTTTTATGTAACATTATGTTTATATATATACTTTTACTTATTTCCAAGTTTTCCCTGTTGCATTTAGGCCTATGTATTGTTTTAAATTTTCGGGTGTGATATAAGGTGTGGTATTTTACTATCGCAAGGAAAAATCACTGTATTCTGGAAGTAATCTCTAGCCTTATTAGCATTATTCGTGTAATCATTGTATTGTAGAAATAAAATAAGCGGGATATTAAACGATCCATCTTAGAAATTATATAAATTATATATAAATTTTCCGAAGTTGCTTCTATCAGATTTTCCTTTATAAATATTAAATTCCGGATTAATGAGTCACATGATATCTGCATAAACTACCGTAGTAAACACTGCACATTCTTTCCTTAATTAATTAGTTAATTTCACATGAATAAAAATGCGATGCAGCTTAATTAAATTTAATACTTGATTTTTATTCTCATACAATTTACATAATCATAGTGATTTGTATAATTAAAAGAAGTCACAAATAATTTTCCTAGTTGTTACTGTTTTTTATGTAGAAAAATAAAATATATAAATGAATTTTTTTTTATTTTTAGGGTAGTTGAAGTAGATAAATAAACTTAGAGGCATTCTGATAACGTTCCTAAAACAAGGTTTACCGCATACATTTTTGAACTATACGATTAATAACGTCTCGTATAATAATTACTGGGAAGAATATCTTTTAAATTCAATCCTAGCCGCGTACAATAATATATTTTTCTAAATAACTCATAACAGATAGGAAAGTAACATTCCTTTTTGTTAGATTTTTTAAACGTGTATTTAAACATTTTTAAAAATAAAACACTGTTTTATTAAAACTTTCTTTTGTCAAATAATCCGTTGTAATTTCATAATATATAATAAACGAAATAGAAACAAATGACGTTTCTTATTGTAATTGTAATTTTCTCTAAAGTTTTACTATAGAACTTTAGCGCAAAAACAAATTTTAGTGTCTGTCTTTTATATTTTGAGCGTATTCTCATCTGCAAAAGAAAGATAGCATTGGTAAAATAAATGAAACCAAACAGTTAAAAAATTGAACTTAGACACATCCCATTGCACCAAACAGCTCTATTAATTTCTCACAGATTTTCTTCTTGTCAAATTTTACTTAATTGGTATTAAATTCCAGATTAATGAGAAACTACCTGAGCAAACACTGCACATTTTATCATTAGTTATTTAATTAGACATCGATTAAAATCGATGCAGTTTAATCGAATTTCATTTTTGATTTTCAGTCCTTCTAATTCTTTGCTTGAATTCTTATCATACAATTTACATTTTAATACTGATTTTTAAAATT